CCTTGGGGATTCATGTTTCCCTCCAAACAAATCAATTGTCTCTACCATCTCGTGATCCTCCCTCCTAAGGGCTTTGTCAAATTGAATGTGGATGCAGCTACTAGTTTTGACTGGAAGAGCAGTGGGATTGCGGGTATTCTAAGAGATGAAGAAGGTTTACTTTTAGGTTCTTTTAAGACGGCTTCTGGTCCGGGTCCACCTATTCTGATGGAATTAAAGGCTGTTAAGGAGGGTTTAAATTTCTCACTCAGTGAGAGGAGTTATTAAGGGTCGGTTGATTATAGAATCAGATTGTAAAATGGTAGTGGATTGGATTAAGGATGGATCTTGTTGTCCTGTTTTCTATGCCTCCATTGTTAGGGAGGTAGCTGTTAAACTCAAAGAAGTCGAGGGAGTTATTAGATGGGTGGCTAGGACAGCCAATATTGGGGCTGATGGTTTGGCTAAGTTTGGTATTGGTTAATTTTACTTTGTTGTTGGGATATTTTATTTTGGGTTATTAGGTTGTTTGTAAGGGTTTTATCTTATTATTGTAAATCTTATGTATCTTTATTAATAAAGTTTAAGGCACTCTTTTCCTCCTTTCTCTGATTAAGGAATTCAATATGAGTTTCTTAAATCATGAAGGGGGTTTTTAATGAGGCCTCAATTCCTATAAAAAAATGTGATGAATAATGCAAGACTAGCTTAACATGCCTAACATATTAAATACCAATGTGTAAGATATGTTCATATTAGTATATAGTGCATAAATGAGTAAATATAGTATAAAGTAGGGAAGAACTCCCTTAGATTGAACCTGGTTTTGATTCAAGAGGGAGGCTCATTCTTGAATCGGATTATTCTACTGCTTTGGAGTGGATTAAAAATCCAGGTCGTTGCATTCCATTGTTCGAGTCAATGGTGAAAGCTATTGTTTATCTTGTGGTAGAATAGGATGTTATCATTAGGCATATTTTGAGATCTACCAATTGGGAGGCGGATGGGTTGGCTAAAGCTGGAATTGAATGATTCTTGCGTTGTGGGTCCAGGTGATTATGTTATGTTTTGGGTTGTATGTTGTGGGTATTGTGTATGGAACAGGTTTTGTAATAAATTTTCTATTAATAAATTTTCGAGGCACTCTTTTCCTCCTTCCAATATCCTTCATGCTACTGCTGTAGTATGAAGGTTATGTAGGGGGTTTTAACGAGGCCTCCCATATTTTTATCAAAAAATAATTTATTGGTTCCACAGGTTATTGTTGGGACATTTATGACTGACAACAAGAAGAATGCTAGTGATAATGCAAAAGGCGATGCCTTGGGTAGTAAGTTGCCATCTCCAGTTGCTGGAACTCCGGTATCTAATGTTGGCGTTCGCTCCGCTTTTGAAGCTCCAGGAAGAAACCCAATCGATGAAAATGGTGGTCATCAAAGTTTCGGAGGAATTGATTTCACTATGCAATCACAGGGCTTGCATTTGGAACCTCGCCCAACAGATTGGAGGACCGGTCTAGATGATACAACTGCATTTGATTTGACAGGTTAGAGTTTTGCACATGCATATATGCATGGGTAGGGAATACTGAAGTTAAATATCTATTGCAGGAAAAACAGGTCATGGAGCTCCTCATCGATCGGCAGAAAACGAGGACCATGATTAGATATTAGTGTTGTCAACCAAACCATTGTTTTGTCTTAGATGTATTTAAGTTACAGCTTTTTAACTAGAGCGAGTAGAAAACAACTCTCCTCGGCCCTTACATCCGGAGTGTAATATGATATACCTGTACAGGTCGGCCATCAACTCTTGATGTTGATTAGATTATGCACCATAAAAGAGATGGCCTGTGAAAATTGTATTCCTTTGCTTAGTCGTTGAAATGGTTTCAACCTTACATTGCTGCCATGTTTACGCTTTCGAGATGCATAAATCCTCTCCGGTTTAGGGGAACGAGGGGATCCCATTAGAGATAACACATAACAGTTGTGCATTCTTAAACAAGATGCGATTCCCATGAATAAAATGTATTTCAGGTTAGAAAATTTACTGGAAATTGTGGTATATTTGTCATCTCCATTGTGTATGATATCTGTCATCTTCATTCATCTTCAGTGCATCATGTGAATGTAATAATTGTGGCTTCACAGGTTCTTGCAAAAGAGGATTGTTTCACAGAGTAAGCAAACAAATCTTAAAAAAGTTTACTTTTTTAACGTTTGTTTTGCTGAAGTGTATTGTACTTTTTTGTGTGGAGAGTTTATATTTAATCATTTTTAAGGCAGTTTAGTATCAATTCAAAATGAGTTAATTCATCATATGCCCCAAACTATAACTCTCATTTTAAATTGGTCCTTAAACTTTTGAATATTTCAATTCCATCCCTAAACTATGACTCTATTCTAAATTAGTCTTTAAACTTTTTAACATTCTAATTTTAACCCTAAATTGTGACCCTCTTTCTAAATTAGTCCTCAAACTTTTGAATATTTCAATTTCATCCCTAAATTCATCCAAATGTATAATTATTATTAGCCATAATTTAACCTAAATTTTATTTCTGTCAAACATATGATAATATAAGTAGAATTAATGATTTAATTAACAAGGGATGCGATTAGTATATACGTATAGGAGGAGATGAAATTGGAATGTCCAAAAAGGACCAATTTAGAATGAATATCATAGTTTGGGGATGAAACTAAAATGTTTAAAAGTTTGAGGATTAATTTTGAATGATGGTCATAGTTTAGGGATGAAATTAGAATTTTTAAAAGTTTAGGGACCAGTTTAGAATGAGATCATACTTTAAGGAAATATGATGCAGTTAATTCATTTAAAATTATAAAATTTGATATTTAAAGAGTTAAAATATAATTTTATTATTATGTTAATTCAAAATTGTATTAATTTTTCATGTGTGAACCTTATATAATAGTGAAATATTGCAATGGACTTAAAGTTTATACAATTAAATGCTAATAATGAGTAGCAATAATAAATTGGGAAGGAAATGAATATCTAGCTCAGTTGGTAGAGCGTAAGGTTCTTAATCTTGAGGTCGTGGTATCGTGTTCCACGGAGGACATTTTATAATTTGGAGGTCTCTCACGAAAACTGCTCTCAACCTGGCGTTGGGACAACCTACTATCCTACCTCTCCTTACCTCATTACATATGAGAATAAGGGTAAACTAATTTAATAATAAACTGTGAAGGACATTTATTTCATATCTAAAAAAAATCCAAATTTCATAATTTACATCGCCATCACGTGCGCCACGTGATTACCGTTTCACCGAGTCAACCAGCTGTCTTCCTAACCGCTCATCACTAATGCTTTTAAGGTCCATATTGCCATGTCAGCAAATCATCCTAGTGATGGACACCGTCGGATCAAATCCGATCGGATGATATGGTAATTATACGTGACAAGTAATTTTTTAAGGTAAATTACACACATTTTACCACTAAACTTTTAAAATATTTACATTTTGATTATTAAATTTCGAAAAAATTTATAATAAAAGGAACTTTTACGGAGGTATCCAACTTCAAAACAAACTACTAGGATATGCACCCTTTTGCACTTTATGGGATAATCATATGTTTGGCCCTTCCACTCTTATTTATATTTCAATTCAATCCAATTTCGTACAAATTCTTTTCTATTTAACCTTTTTTAAAATTTTAAATTTTCAATTAATCTAACAAGTTATTTATTTATTTATCAGTTATTATTATTATTTTTCATATTTTATAGAAATAGCATGTATTTTTACAAGAAGTTTATTTTCATTCTTTAAAAATTAAGATAATATATTTTTTGTTATGATAACTAAAAGTGTAATGAACAAGTTGTACATGGATTGAATTTCAGCTTTGTTCAAAAGAGAAATAAGTTAAAAAGTGTAAGATTGATATTACGTTTGAAAAGTGATTTAAAAAAATGTCATAAAAATTTATTTTAAAAAGTGTTTTTTGAAAAGTACAATTTAAAATTTAACTGTTTGAGATTATTGTTAAAGAATAATTTAAAAAGATAAAAATCTATTTTAGACATTATATTGTAAATTGAAAATATAATATTTAAAGATAAAAATATAATTTCACAAAAAAGTGATTTTCTACAATAAAAGCTATAAATTTAAACGTTTGAAATTAGGTTAAAGACTATTTTTCTAACCATAATTTTAAATCAATCTTTTTTAAGTATTTAATATTGTTTATGGATAAAAGTTATTTTTTTTATTGCTATAAACATTCTTACCTAAGGACATTTTCATGGTAAAAGAATATTTTATAAAAAGCATATTAAATTAATAATTTAACTTTGAATCACACTATTTTATGACATTCTTCATACTTTCATCAATCCCTTATAAAGAAATATTCACATTAATTTATTAAAATAAACTAATATATTATATTGATTCAATTGTTGTTGGCATATGAGAGTCTATTACATTAACTGTGTTTTTAGTATTATCACATATATTTGATCTATTAATTAACTAATTCAATTTACTGCATTCATAAATATCATGATTCGGACCCTTAATCTTACTTAAAAAGTTTAATACATCATCCCACTTGACCAGTTAATTATTAGTGTATTACATTTATTGTTATTAATGATTTAATAGTTTAATAATCGGAATAAGCATTTTTAATGATAATAATTCTAATAAAATTTAATTTTAATAAAGTTTATTAAAAATTCAGTAATTTTTTAATAATTTATTTTTTAAAAAATTAATTGTTACCACTTTAAGCTACCTGCAATATTAGTGAATAAGAAGTCTAAAAATAATGATTTTATTATGCGACTCTATAAAGGAAGAGGTGTGGGTGGGTTCTACAATAGAAGAACTTTGTTCTTTCGGTCCCCCAATTTCTAAGTTTTTTTTAATATTTATTTATTTATGTATTAAATTTTGGTGTTTTTCTTAGGTGGATGTTGCATTAGCATTGTTTCCTAAAGTTACCATACGACGAGCCCTCTCTTACCGTGTCCTTGTTCTTCAAGTCGCTTTCTTTCAAACTAAAGAGCAATAGAGATATTTCTTTCCAATCTTAAACAATCTTCAATCTTTTTCTGCTCTTTGTTACAAATCTTGTGAAGGGGTTTCTGTAAACAGGACCCTTCTTCTGGTTTAGAGTGTTACAAACTTTTTAGCATTTTAGTTGATCTCTATTGAAAAAGTGTAGATTTGGGGAAAATGGGTAGTGGTAATTCACTTGGAAAGTTGAAGATATATCCATACATATATACAAATTATTTTTTTTGGTGTTGATTGAGATTGGTTCTTGATAGTGCTTTTTTCTATGCCAAAGGTTTGTTCTTTTTACCTTTGCCCTTTGATCTATTTATTGATTTCCTTGTTATTTCCATCTTGCTTTTGAGTTAGGTGAACAAAAGGTTGACCTTGATTCTTGATGTTGTTTTCCTTGGAAGTTTTTGTTATTAAAAGTTGTAAGTTTTGTTGAGAAAGTAATTTCTTCTTCTTGATTTCTTCCTTCTTTCCCTTGTTTCTGTATAATAAATTCTTGGGGCCAATGAGGAAGATTGGGAATTTTGGATTTTAGAGCTATGGGTGTTTTAGATCCTGAAATTTAGGAAAGCTGGGTTCATTTTATAGATCTTGAATTGTGGCAGATGGATTTTGTTGTCTTTGCAAAGGAATTGGCTTTAGGAAATGAATACTTGTGCTTCTAGCTGTAGTTTAGGGGGTTGTTTTTTTTATATTGGTTGAATATATAAGTTTATATATATTGGGGGTGTGAGAAGTTTGACATTTAATTTGCATGGATTGAACCAGTAGGTCACGTGAGTGGCAATGTTAAGAGCATTAGCTCTTGGCTTGTTGATTTCTCTTTTTGCGGTCTCGGTTTCTGGCACTGACCATGAGTTTGCAATTTGTAACTGTGATGTTGAGAGCTTTTGGAGTGTTCATAGCATTTTAGAGTGCCAGAAGGTGAGTGATTTCTTCATTGCCGTGGCATATTTTTCGATACCTATCGAACTGCTTTACTTCATCAGTTGTTCGAACGTCCCCTTCAAATGGGTCCTTGTTCAGTTTATAGCCTTTATAGTGCTTTGTGGATTGACACATCTTCTCAATGCATGGACTTATTATGGTCCCCACTCATTCCAATTGATGTTGTCCCTCACCATTGCCAAATTGCTTACCGCCCTCGTCTCATGTGCGACCGCAATTACGCTATTAACTCTGATCCCTCTGTTACTCAAAGTGAAAGTAAGGGAGGTATTCTTGAGGCAAAATGTATTGGAATTGGATCAAGAGGTTGACATGATGAAAAGGAAGAAGGAAGCCAGTTCACATGTTCGTATGTTAACACAGGAAATCAGGAAATCCTTAGATAAACATACTATATTGTACACCACTTTGGTTGAGCTTTCCAAGACTTTGGATTTAATCAACTGTGCCGTGTGGATGCCAAATGAGAATAGAACACAGATGAATTTGACTCATGAGTTGAAAGCAAGTTCTTCAAGGAGTTTTCACCAATCTATCTCGATGAATGATCCTGATGTGAAGGAGATAAAGGGGAGTGAAGGGGTGAGAATCCTGAGACAAGACTCTGCACTTGGGCTTGCGAGTGGATCAGATGAGGCAGGTTCCATTGCAGCAATCAGGATGCCAATGCTTCAAGGTTATAACTTTAAAGGGGGGACGCCAGAATTGGTGAAGACACGCTATGCCATTCTGGTGTTGGTTCTTCCTATAAACTCTAGGAATTGGAGCTATCCGGAAATGGAGATTGTTGAGGTGGTTGCTGATCAGGTAGCTGTAGCTCTATCCCATGCTGCAGTTCTCGAAGAATCTCAACAAATGAGAGAAAAACTGAGCCAGCAAAATCATGTGTTGCAGCAGGAAAGACAGAATGCAATGATGGCCAGCCAAGCGAGGAACTCTTTTCAGAAAGTAATGAGTCATGGCATGAAAAGACCAATGCACTCAATTTTGGGCTTACTTTCAGTGTTTCAAGATGAAAATATGAACTTCAAGCAGAAGATTCTCGTTGACACATTGGTCAAAACAAGCAGCGTTCTTTCAACTTTGATAAATGATGTGATGGAGATTTCAGCAAAAGATCATGGAAGATTTCCGTTCGAAATGAGACCTTTTAGCTTACATTCCATGATTAAAGAAACTTCTTGCCTTGCCAAATGTTTATCTGTCTATAAAGGCTTTGGTTTTGAAGTTGGCGTTCAGAGTTCTTTGCCTGACCAAGTGATCGGTGATGAAAAAAAGACTTTTCAAGTGATTTTGCATATGGTTGGCTATCTACTGGGAATCAATAGTGGAGGGGGAACTGTCTTATTCCGGGTTCTATCGGATTCCGGTAGCCAGGAGAAGAACGACAAAATAAATGCGTGGAGATCAAACATACAAGATTACCTGTTCTTAAAGATTGAAATCGGTATTCATGGGGGGTGTTCTGTGGCTGATGCACCAGTCTCAGCCAAAACCATTTCTGCTGAGAAGCATAATAAGGATGAAACTAAGGAGAGCCTGAATTTTACTATGTGTAAAAAGATTGTGCAGGTGAATATCCCATTTCTATTTCTATTTTCCATTCTCGATTCTATACATTCTTTTAGCTACTGCACTTTGAATGGAGTTGGCAGTAACCATTCATCCTGTGGAATGAAATTCTGTCATTAGTAATGTTGTTTTGCATGTGTGTATAATCACTTGTTGCTGAAAACTTTGAAGGCTTCTGAAAGTTTTTCAGATATTTTATTGCATTTTTCGGTTTCACCCCCTAGTTTTTAGTGGTTCACGATTCCTGGACATTGCTTTGTTCTGTTGAAAACCCTTTTTAGCCTTCTCTGGTTCTTGTATGATTATGATAGCTGCTTTTAGCCTTTTATGCTGTTTTTACAATTCATTCATAGACTTATAGTGTGTATTGAGTTGGTTTCGTTAAGATTGTGGATTCGAAAATATCTTGACACCATAATGAAAACTTTGAAATAATTCGATGTTTCAACTGTAGAGTATATAGAAATTGTGTAAGGGATTTTTTAGCTTTTCTGACACGCTTGAAGCTATTTTCTGATTTTATATTTCTCTTTAATTGGAATGAACTGTTTTCTTGTCTCTATCTACTGTCCTTTAACCATCGTTTCCTTCTATAGAAATATGCTGCGTGACCATTTATTAATTGTATATAATGTTTCTGGTATTTGCAGATGATGCAAGGGAACGTCTGGATATCCACAAACTCTCTGGGCTTTGCACAGAGCATGACACTTCTTCTCAGGTTTCAAATCCAATCGTATATCCAAAGAATCACGTATGCGCATGGAGACTCTGCCGAGCAATCAAATTCCTACTCCAGATTCAGAGGTTTACGAGTTCTACTTGCTGCTGATGATGATATAAACAGGATCGTGACCAAGAAGTTGCTAGAAAAGCTGGGTTGTGAAGTGACGGCTGTTTCTACTGGATTTGAATGCCTAAGTGCAGTCAGCCATGCTGAAAATTCTTTCAGAATCGTTGTTTTGGACCTTCACATGCCTGAAATGGATGGATTTGAAGTGGCGATGAGAATCCGTAAGTTTCGCAGCCGTAATTGGCCATTGATTATAGCCTTGACAGCTAGTGCCGAGGATCATGTTCGAGAGAGATGCCTACAAATAGGAATGAATGCAGTTCTTCAGAAACCTGTTTTATTGCAAGGAATGGCGGATGAGCTTCGAAGAGTTTTGCAACGGACAGGGGAAGGGGTTTGAGGAGCCACTCGTACTTAGGCCAATGGATTAAATGCTTGGACTGCAGGTATGGGGATTGGTTTCTTATTCCAGTACCTTACATGTTACCGATCGGCTCACTTTCCATCTTTAACTTAGTGTTTGCATTCTGTGTCATTCCATGGTGTACCAACATGTAGACATTAAATTTTGCTAACCAATTTGCTCATCATCGGGATTTTGGTGGAATGATTCGAGATAATATTACATGTACACTTATTTAATACCAAAATCAAAGCTAGTGTGAAATTTATGAAACTGAAAATGCACGGCTAGTAATGTGTACCATCAATTCCTTTTCTTTCTGTATCATAAATTATATCAGCAAAATACAATTGATTCTTGAAACTTTACACAAGAAGTTGAATTTTAGAAATTTTATTCCGTAATACCTTCAAAGGTTTCTCGAGCTGCTATGGTTTGCATGTTCAACTTTTACCTTTCTTTTCCCATTGATGAAAACAATATTCTTGACTGATGCTTCATTTATTGTTTTCTGCCATTACTGTGATATCCATGTTGCTCTGAAATTGAGTTCATAAGCCTCCACTGGTGCATAATACATTTGACAGCATGCAAAAGAGGTCGTTGTTGGCATAAACCTTAGCATCTGAGCATTCAAGCTGGAGCATAGATTTTGGAGCACAAATTATTGTGACAGGATGCTGAAGTCTCCATCATGGATTGCACAAATTCTTTTACTAATGCTACATATTGCCTCCACTCTCTACAAATTTGTTCACCGTGTGTGAAAGAATAATTTTTTTACTGATTGTATATCAAATGATAATCATATATTTCGAAAGTTCTCTCTCTCAGTGGCAAAACTTGGTGATAGAGTTTGGAGGGGTCAGTTTAAAATATCAAAAAATTTAGAGATTTAAATTTAATTTTTGAACTGTCTAGTTTATATTTTTTCCTAAAAATTAGGATTTAACTAAAATTTTTGAAATTTTGAAGGGTGATAACTTTCCAAAAGAATTATCATATTTGCATACATTTTGCATCATTGGGAATTTGGTTGTCTTAGACTGAATTTTAGTGTTTTTGTGAAAAAAAAAGTATAAAATGTTGTAGCATTGGAGCCGAGACTACAGTAAGCGAAGAGTCACTAGGTGCTTGGCAGAACGTTCTGGAATGGGACAACTTGCTAGGACAATTTTTATTCTTCTAATCAGCACCTGAAACATGGAGTAATCTCATTGGAGAGGCTTTGGCTCCTTTCATCTATAAATAGGAAGGCATTTTGCTTTTTTCATCATTAAATTTTCTACACTCCACTCTCAAAACTCTTTTCCCAATTTTTCTCGTCCTTTTCCATGGTTGCTTAAGTCACTCAACTAGGGAAGTGATGCAACATTCGAGAATGAGCTTTTGCCGAGTAGCATTGGCGGTCAATGAAAGATTACTTCAGTCACACTTGTCCTATACTTGAGATATGAGAGTTTTAGGATAGTTGAATACTGTTATTTTTGGATTATACTTGTTTTAAATTTGGCTGTTTTTTTGTTACTCTTACTATGAATGTTTTAAATCTGACTTTGTGACTTTAGTTTATGAAATGATTAAAGAGATTTTATCATATAAGCAAGTTATTCATTTAGTTTAGAAGTAAACGTGGTGATATTCATGTTATCTTTGTTGGCCTTAGTGTTTCGAGAAACAATATTGCATATTGAGATGTATGTTACCAAGCATTTGATATAGTTACTCGATTGATCATTAGAATTAAAGAGAGTTATTCTGAATGATTAATTAAAGATAATCTATGCTAGATATTTTGTGATGGGTTTAAATACATGGTTATAGCAGGAGTCACCTTTTATTATTATACTCCATTGATAATTGACTTTGGGCTCTACTTATTGTTGTAGCATGATATGATTTCTTTATTATTGAGATTTATTCTTTTAATACTTATCCATGTTACCTTTCATTAACACTTTTTACAATTCTACTGTAAACTACTCTTGATCTTTGTGGGATTTGACATTCAACATGTTAATCCATGTCCACTTTATTATTTGATTGACACATATACTTGCGTATATGTTGTAGCAATTTTGATAGCATCAAAATGTTAATAATAAATTTTAAAAATTATAGGACAGAGTTTAATTAAGAATGTTTAAAAAAAATTAAAGTTTAATTTAAATTTCTAAAAATTTTGAGGGAGACAAATTATAAAAAAATTAAAAATATAAATTATAATTTTAATATTCTTGCCTTGAAAAACAGGGAGGAAAAGCTAATCTAGGTTCGCTATTCTCTCTCTTTTTCACTCTTATTACAATGACACAACTCACCCCTATTTATAGATTTTAGTGGTCATTGTATTGTTGATATATGTTAACATCTTAGTCATTTAACAATTCAAATATTTAGATTCTTCTAATAGATAATTTTATATATAATATTAAATAATATAAATATCTAGATTATTTTATGGATATATCTAGACATCTACTCTTTCTATATTAATCTAGAATATTTCCAAGATATATCTCCTAAATAATAATTATATATTTACCTATAGTTGTATTGGATTTTAACATTAATGTTCAATCAACCTTATCTTCAACTTTTTAATCTTTTAGTCCCCAAACTTAATATGATCATGCCAAAATGCATTAAATATTTCATAAACTACATATAACATGCTTAAAACAAAGTATAACATGTCTCCAATCTAAGTATATAGCATATATATCCACCATGTCTCATAATATACCATCATTAAAATGTATTTTACCTTTTGTTTTGAAATTTCATTCTCATCTTTGCTTCATTCATACCAATAATTTTGGGCATGCAATATTACTTATAGCTCTAGAAATTTGGGTGATAATTTTACAGTTGCGTAAATAGCAAAGTCAGAGGATGGTATACTTGCTTTCGGCTTTTTTTTCCTATGGAACTCCTCATTCTCCCTTAGTAATTTTTTTAGATCCTCACTAAGCTTGTGAATTTCCTCATTTGATGCATTTTGGGAAAATTTAGCATGAATTTCAACCTTCTTACGTACTACTCGCTCCTCTTTCAATTGTCGTTTAAACCTTGCGGTTGACTTCTTCATCTTTAATTCAACCTATGAAAATACTATTATTTATTAATTCATGCTTATAGTTTCATGAATAAACTATACACTAACAACAATTTATAAAAATGAGATGTCAAATTAATAAATATCATCCTAGTAATTCGCCTAATCTGATCTTCATGTGATTTTTTCACAAGGTCCTTAAGCTAACACATTTCTTGCTTAGAACGACCTTTCTAAGAAGCATCCTCTTCATTTTGGTGACAAATAGTTACTTCTTTCTGTCACATGAATACAGTCACACACTGACACACATATTTACTTTACATTAAGTTCCTAAAAGAAAGCACTAACCTTAAGTTCAACAAACAATTCATTAGAATACGGTTGCCCACCATTTTGTGCAATGACATTCAGTAGTGAAACTAAACATTATTTTCTGGAGGGTCGTTTAATTTTTTGGGCATACCAAGAATATTAATAGTGCATATCATGTTTTACTTGAGAAAGTAAATAGTTAGAGGAATATATTTATTATGAACATGCACTCAAGTCAAATTTCATATCGTTTATTAATTGGATATTCCTACATTGACTTATGTAACTGGGATCACATTTTATAAACGAAAGATTAATGTTTTCAACCTCAACAATCAGAGACATAGGAGGAATGTGTGTGTGCACGTACACGTGCGTGCGTGTATGTGTAAATTTTTTAAAGATTAAAATTCATAAACTCACATAATAAATATATATTTAAAATAAAATCATAAATATTTATTGAATTAATTTTTTTTAAAAAAATTTATATTCAACTGAGATGAAACACTTTATAATTTTATTGAAGTCATCAACTTAAAGATGATAACAATTCAAAGAAGATGAACAACCAAAGAGGAAAAATTATATAATTTTTTTGTATTTTAAAATAAAAGATGACAAAAGAAAATGGATATTAATTGTTTTTAATAAATATTATTTAATTGATTTTCAAAATTTTAAAGTAATATACACATATTTTTTAGGCAATTAATTGTTTTATTAAATATAGAGATATTATATTTATAATACAAATATTGAGATATGAACTCAGATAATATGAGTATAATTGACTATTCAATAAATTTAATAATTTATTATACATGTCTCTTTTAGGGGACCAAATTTAGTATTATATATATATATATATATATATATTAATATTGTCAATAAGCGTTGGTACAAGTGGTTAAGATTCAAGAATTTAAACTTGTAAGGTCAAAGTTTGAATCTCTCCACCATTACTTTTAGTGCACAATCTGTAAAATCATATGTAAATTCTAATTAGATCTTAAGTATGCCTTGACATTAGATTAGGAGATACCTCTAACTTATAAACTTTTGTGTAAAAAAATATTATTTTTAATATTACGGGTGGAAGAGGCCGCGGCCTCCACTAGTCTCAAGGCGCCGCCCTTGACCGCTCCCTCAATAATATTTTTAATCAAATTATCACTATAGACATTTAATTTGACTGGTAACAAACATTTAATTTGAGACTATAAACCCAACATGTTGGTTCTATGGAAAACACAAAACTTTGAACCGATCAGACGGTTTTGAAGACTAAAGAAAATGAGTGTATCGGCAACAGAAGCTTCAGAGTACCATTCCAAAGACTTCGACTGGGAAACACTCCGACAAGAAATAGAAAGCGACCCTTCTCTTACCTATCATCTTCTCCCTTTCATTTCCCCACAACCGCAGCAACAAGTTTCAAAAGATCCAATAAAAGCATGGCAAAGCTTTCACATTCAACACTCTTCTGGCAAATTCTTCAAGGCTTGTCTATAAACAAAAGAAACTAAAAGAAAATCCAATATTTCCTTCATTTTATTTCTGGGTGCTTGATTGCTTTTAGTTCTACGTTGTCTGATCATAAATGGGTACTTTGTTGATACAGGAGAGGAGGTACTTGTTGAAAGAATTTCCAGAGCTTGTTTCCAGTGGAGTTGGTTCTAAGGTTTTGGAGATTGGCTGTGGAAATGGCAGTACTGCCCTTCCTATATTGCGGTAACCACTAAATTATCTTTGTTTTAATTTTTAAATGTTTGTTGTAGTTGTTGTTATAATTGAATAAAATTTGATAATTGTATCATATTCTTGACTATCTAGTTTAGTGGAAACTGATGATTTGTTATGGTGATGATATTACAACTCCATTGGTTTCTTTGGTTACTAAAGAAAGGTTAATGGTTTACTAACACTGTTGAAAAGTGAACTGTGTGCTGCAAAAGCATTATTCAGGATGAGAGCCTGAGAAAACATTAGAGGATACTTATGAAAGTTAAGATTGTTTTCTTTAAGATTTTGTGTTGAAGATCGATCATGCAGTACTGAGAAATTAGAGATGGACAATAATATTAAATAATGGTGAATTATCTTTCTTTTATACTTAGACCTTCCATATGTTTGTCCAGAGGCAACGACAAAATTATTCTATATGCATGCGATTGTAGCAACGAGACCCTACAGAGAGCTAAAGAGATCGTAGTTGCTAGTAATGTAGCATCAGTTGAGCACCGTTTCCGCCCATTCTATTGTGATTTTGCAACAACTGGGTTTCCAAAGTGGTTGGCTTGTGATTATTGCAGAGAAAATTTTGGACAAAAGGATCCAAGCTTCATTTCAGGTAGTTATCTTTCCTGTTTCTTACATTGCTCCTGCTTCCATTTATTGGCTTTGCTTGTATCATGGACTTGATACCTTGTTTTTTTCCTTCCAAGATGTCAGAGAAGAAAGAACCATTGAAACTGATTCACTGTCAATGGAAGAAAGAAGTTATTGCATTGGTGGTGTGGACTTTATTACTTTGGTATGCATCTGTCATCAATGCCTTGATTGTCGATGTTACTAGAAATTGTTACAGATTTATTGGCTAATCTTAGAGTTGATATATATTGTATTTGATGTAGGATATTACTTTATATATTATAGGACCTATATACTTGTATATATACCCATAATATTGATGAATAAAATACAAGAAAGCATTCTCTTCCTAACATTTTACAGAAATCTTAATTTTCTATGTAATAAGTAAAAATAATTTACTACATAGTCCATGCTTGAAAGTTATCACATTGATTCGGTAAAGCATCCAACAATTATTTGTAAAAGAAGAAAAAATAAAAAAGAGGATTGTAACCTACCATGCTGGAAAGATAAGAGCATAAACTCATGAAGTGAAGATAGCGCGACTGAGATTGTACAGGAAACTAGCCAGGGAAACAAGGCATGCCATCATTTAGAAGTATTTCTGGTTGAATATATTCTTCTCCTTTTTTCCTTAAAGTGTATGTAATTTGCTTATGTTTCTGAAACTTCACCTCTTGTTAAATTGGTGCTGGATTGACATGTATTGGTGCAGAGTGTCATGGTTAGTCTGCTAATTGAATACATGTCAGGAAATAGTGGTGGACTGCTACTTATATTAAAGAGTTCTTCTAGCATTTCTAATTACATATATTTCCTGATTTCCTTTTCTGCACAAATCCTTTTATGTTGCAACCTGTATCTTCCCCCTTTAAAAAGGTATTATTCTGAAATTATTATACTATTTGAAAAATAGATACAAAATACTATTGAGTCTATGATATATGGATTTTGATATGTTTTCTTTGCTACATAACATGTCAGATATTCACATTATCAGCAGTACCGCTCCACATAATGCCAACAGCCCTCAGAGAATGCTTTTCTGTCTTAAAGCCTGGTGGCATGCTCTTATTTCGGGACTATGGTATTAATCAACAATTGACAATGCTGTTGTTTTATAATATTGTAATATATTTGACTGTAATTTAGTTTCTCATCAGGACTTGTATTTTCTAGCCAAATTTGTTGCCAGAATCAGTTTACAAAAGCTTTAGTTTGATGAAATCCAGGTCTCTATGATATGACGATGCTGAGATTTGAACATGACCAAAGAGTTGGGTTCAGGGAATACATGCGCTCGGAGGGCACCCGCTCATATTTTTTCTGTCTAGATACTGTCAGAAATCTCTTTATTTGCGCTGGCTTCATTGAGGTGCTAATTTTTTCTCTTAGGAAAATTTGAAGTTTGTACTTTCTATAACCTGGATATGTGTATAAGATATAATATGCTTCATCACCAATGGTTTGATTTTTGCTTCATAAATCTCACTGGAATGGTTTCTAGTGCATTTATGTATTGTTTGTCTTACTCATTATATTGAAGAGAGAATAGAACCTTCTTGCTTGAGTATCCAGGGCATGGAATTTATTGATTTATAATTTATGTCATATCTAAAGTTTAACAAACCTCAAGAAGTTCCTGTTATGACTGCTGGTGGTATTGAATGTTATCTTATTTTGCACTTGCAGCTTGAGATTGAATATTGTTGTGTGAAGTCAGTGAATCGTCGAAATGGGAAGAGCATGAAAAGAGTATGGGTACATGGTAAATTCCAGAAGCCTGCATAAATTTATTGGTCAGCAGCTCTACTAGAGATATTGTTTGAACTTTGAGGAGATATTTTTCCTCTTCTGTTCTTTTGGTGAATGACTAGATGTGCATATTCGTTATTATCTCCATATAGCTTACGGTGAATTTTTTTTCTTATAAGATACCAATAAAATAACCTATACAAGTTCCGGATTCCTTTTGATTCTTGGAACAAATTGAAGGAAATTGCTGATGGAACTTTCTTATCTCTCTGTGTGCCTGTTTTGGCTTACAATTTCATGTAGAGGGAATTATACGCTGAATAAAATATTGAGATTCAGTTATCATGTTTCCCATTAGACATCCTAAATCTGTTGTGGCACTTCTGACCCTGCCAAATCATATCATTCAGTCCAATTGCATGCAGAACAGAGTATGAAGTTGTCTGAACCTTTCAGAGTATATAATATAACTAATGTTTTGTACTGTTAATTCATATGTCAAATAAATAAGTCCTCCTCAGTCAAGACAAATCTGATTTCAGGGCCTTAGACACTTATCTGTACAGTCATAATCATACCGATAAGCCTAACTGTTACGTTCACAAGGATCGAGTCACCGATGATTTGTAGGGAGATCTTCTCTTTCCCCTTGTTACGATTCCTGCCGTTAGAGTAACCTATTATTAACACGTGGCACTTGTCAAAGGGAATTCCCGACATTAAGACTTATTAAGAGAGTCTTAGACCGCTGTAATTAAAATAAACTTCTGACTTAACTTTTATTATTTCATAGGTCTCTTTAAATAGATGTTACAACAACTAAAGAAAGTAAATAAACTCCTACCGAACATAAATTCTAAGAGTCCTGCCTAACTTCTCCTAAGAATAATAAAGTAACTTATACTCATCCTAAGAATAATAAAGTAACTTCTTTTATAAGATATAAGAGTCCCTCATCCATACCACTAACCTTGATCATTCCTCTTGAATCTTTGTCAACATGGAATAGGCTAGTGAATTCTAAGTTTAGATCTTTACATGTAGGATATTGCATAGACACATGCCATCGTCTTCAGCTATGCAGTTACATGAACATGGGGATGCAGAATTGAATTCGGTTTGTTTCTCACTCTCATTTATATATATATATATATATATATATATATATTTGATAAAAAGGAAGGCCTCGTTAAAAACCCCCTTCATAACCGTCAAGCAACAAAATCTCACGGACATTGAAAGGAGGAAAGTGCCTTAGAAATTTTATTGCATATGAACCAAGTACAATAAGATCACACTACCACCCAAAAACGATAGCAGCCCACTCAACACAGTGCAGAACAGCACTACCTACATGAATAAGTTTATACCCTACAACAAAACTACCTCATAGGTTAATCAACCAATTACAAACAAATATCATTCCCTAATAAGCTAGAACACTATCAACTAGCTAGAACACTATCAACTAGCTTTTGGTGTAGTGGTAAATGACTTACGTTGACAGTAGGCCCCAGGTTCAAACATGAACAAGAAAGATATGTTTGACTTTCGGAAATTTAGCATTAGAATATATGTTGAGCTTATTCTGAGCATGAACCATCATAGGGTGAGAGTGAATGAACTTGATAAATGGTGAAAACCACTGCAGAGAACTTGGCCTTCCTCTATATTTAGGATTGGCAGGGTATGCCACTTACTGGTAATGCTTACATTTAATCATGGTTTCTCACTTGATCTAGCCTTCAGTAGCAGCGTTCTGTAGCATTTTGCCCCTTTTATCGTACTTTAACTTTTGCTTCTGTAACCATAGAAAAAATTTAAATAGTAATATTCTCACTGATGAATTATTTTAATGTTTTAGCAACATTATAATATTCAATCATCTATAACTATAAGATCAAAATTGCTGATGTCTTATTCCTGGAAACAAAATGAAAATTGAAGAAAATATTAAATGCTTCCAACCAACAGAACTATTTTGCCTTCCTTTCTTTATTGCAGTTTACTCATTATTAAATACTTCAATTTAATTAGCTGGCATGTCAAGAGGCAAGATGCATGCATATACAGAATGTGGCAAGTTGACCTTAGTTTCATGCATAAAACAAGATATGAATGCACCACCACCTCTGGTATGCATGCATCTGGGGTCTTGATGTCTGTTATTGAACTGAATTCTTTAATAAGATTGCCATAGTCTGACACTATGCATTTATTTTTATCTCGTGAGCATAACGTTTTTGTTAAGTTTTGACCATTGATGTTTTTGGATGTGTATGTTTAACATTGAAAGAGAAACGTATGAATGCATGCACTAATGACTGTTATCAAATACCAAGCTTAGAAATGTACATGGAACACTCCATGAAGTATTGGACAGTGTTCGAGCTAACCCCAAAATGCTGGCGGGATTTTAGGGGTTCTAGTAGCTAAGATGCTCACATCATGACACGTGGTAGGCAAATTCTTAATCAGTCAGATTGTCAACTAGATCTGCTTTCATTGAGTGGGACCCTTTTCCTTGAAATAGGTGTTAGCCCATCTTTTGTCCTCTCCTACAATTGTCCATTTCTGCACTCTATCTGGGGGAAAGTATCAATGTGCCCCCATACTTTTCGATAAATATGTTAATGGTCCCCCTCCCACCTACTTTCAATTATTTCCAGCATGCTTTATGGATAATGATAAGCAGAGCTCTACAATTCCTGCATTATTATGCAACAGTTATCTGGAGAATGCAAGAGCAAAAGATTGAAATCCTGTCCTTTATTTATGCAAACGGTGGTAAGATTTAATACTCCATTAATTTCCAGTATGATGGTTTTGATTCACTTATATGGAAGTTCCAATATAAATCTATTTCTTGGAACAAACCTGTTTATTACTGTATAGTATTAGCTTTTATTTTGTATTGTTAAATTGTCTGTCTCTTTGTTCTTCATATTTCTAATGGAAGTGAGACGTTATTTTAATGTAAACTGTAATTTATATTTTAGTATGCCTACATGTAACATATCTAGCTTTCTAACTTTTAAAATCCGGGATTGAAGAGCCATGAAAACTGCAGAACATTTAGAAAGGTTAAGACAAAATGGATAATTGTTTCTTGTACACTTTCCATATTTAAGCACCCCTAAATGCCTACAAAAGAAAATTAAATTAATCTAGCTTGCTTACTAAGGTTCATATTAGGATTGAAAAGAACTTTTGTGCCTTACATACCAATGGCCAGTCACTGAACGAAAAGGACCTTCCACCGACTTCTTCCTAGATATGGACTATGACAAGTTGTTTATTATTGTTGTTAATCAAAAATTAGTTTTACATATATGTGATAGTCCACTCTAGTGCCTTAATACTTAACATTATGTCCCTTGATGCATAATTATTCATTTATCAGTATCTGTTGATTGATAATCTGCTGAAGTAATCAACAGTAGGGGAGAGAAAACAACTTGATGGTTATTCTTTGACTTCATATCTTCGGTTTATAATTTGGACCGTGTAGAACTCTAGATATATATCATACATAGATGGGTCCCATCAAAGTAGTATTTTGATTTTAACCCTCTAATTTAAAGTACAAATAGAACTTTGGAGAGAAACATAAATGCTGGTGACTACATCGACTAGCTGTCCCCTTGTTTTGTTACATTAATCGAGGCCCGCAGGATAAAATCATAGCTGCACTCCTTGTTTTGTCCTTTCGTTTTATGCTTTTGTTGAGCAAAAATCTTTAACCTCCATACATGAGGAGCTGATGAATCTTTTACTTGAATCTTGTTGCCATGTACGGATACTAAAAGATTGCTGTTCGATAAAAATGACAGGTGATAGCTATTGGAATGGTTTTGTCAATTTGGCCCTTTCTTTGAGTAGACTCTTCTTTAGTTTTAACTTGCCTTTCTAGTTTATATGTCTCCTTCAGGAGATGAATGTCGTAGCTGGTGACCGCTTTATAAATTTAAGGATTGCATCAAAAATAGTGATTCATCAGGAAAAGCTAACTAGTGAGTGCATTAAAATATTTCTGCTTTAGTAGAAATGTGGAAATGCTCATCAATGAAGTGAACGTGGTGTTCAATGGGATGAACGTGTCGTTCCTTGATTGGAAACTCGAAATGATTTTAGATTATCTAACCGGATAGGAGGTGCAACCTTTTGAAAGTTAGGTCAAATGGCACCTAATTCGCTGAGGGCGCCATGTACCCCACAACAGGTACATGCAGGAAATAAAATAATTAAGCATTTTAGACTTGGAAAGTGAACATGCTCTCAAATTTCAATTGCTGATGCATGATTCTCCATGATCAATGAATAAATAATTCTTTTGTAATTATACAGCTTAGGCTTTATTTCGGTGGACCACATTTCCATAATATCGATTTTTTGGATTCCCTCCTCAAAGTAGTATAGTTTAATCAGCTTGTTCAACTTTTAAGAAGAGCTAGGGGCTGCAAGCCATTGGTAAAACTACACTTAGAAAGACAAATAGGGCAGAAGAAAGAGAAGCCATTGGTAAAAAATAAAGAAATTTTGATTATTAAAATCCGCGGTGGGCTCCTCCACTGTCACTGCTTTGCCATTGGAATGTTGTGCAAGTAACTAGGTAAACTTACCAAGTTGGTCATTAACAATCATCATGTGAGTCCATGTGAAGAGGGTCCTTGGTGTTTGCTAAAACTCTAGAATCCTTTGATTTGTTTAGAGAAAAAAACCCTCTTTTAGGGAAGCATCATACTGATCTTTTGCCATTAAGTTAATAAATTGTAATAGGATGAGGATGATGACTGAGCAACCCCTTGTATACTTTCAAGTTCATGCATCAAGCCAAAGATTTAAGATTTTTGCAGCTTGTGGACAAATTCGAAAACCCGATTTCTTAAGATTCTTGTTGCTGGAGGACAAATTCAAAAACCCTGCTTCAAGAAACCGGGCTCTGGTTTCAGTTTGTTGCAGATCTATCCTATTATAATATTCTAACATATTTTACTTCGTTCCATCACAGTGAAATCATCCACATTCTGCTTTAAAGATTTATGTAAAATGCAACTGTTAAGGACTCGATCATTGCTTTTGACATTGGCTCATGCTGTAGATGGTGTTGTGTGAAATCCATGCCGGGAAACCCGAAAAGTATGCCTGAAATGAGCGTCTGGAACTTGAGAAGTGACGAGTGTGATCGAAGTTTTAAGTCCCATGATACATATGCATATGCATGCAGTAATGAGCACCACCATGTTTTCATGTTATTTTTGAAGAATGGTTCATTTCATGCCTTTTATGTTCCTATTGCAGACTGCCATTGACCTGAAGAAAAATCAATGTTTTTAAGAAAGAAAAATGGCAAAGAAGCATGCCAGAACCCATGAACCTTAACATTACCCCATCCTCAATTCTATGTTGTAAGTCACCTTTTAAGGAAACTTATTTATATTTTTTTAAAATATTTCATATTTTGAATTTTTAATAAAGATCTCAAAATTCGAGGATGAAATGCCTAATTTATAAATTTTAGGTCATATTCTTGTTGATCAACTGTTCCATTATAAATATTTATATAAATTTAATATAAATTCTCACCAACAATTTTCACCTACATTACCAACAAGAAATTTATTTGCAATAACTTGTTTTATATTTATGAACACCATGGTCCTATTTTTTTAAGTATTTTGGCCTCTAATATTTTATTTTAGGGTAACAAATCTCCTAATGTTTGATTAAATAATTACTTTTATTTTTTGTAGAGCATTTTAACTCTTATTCTATTTGTTGAATAACGATTTTTATTCAAATAGAAGCTTTTTTGTTTCAAAATAAAACGTTGAAGATCAAAATAATAAAAACAAAATATGAGTCAAAGTATAAATCGAATGTGAGGTATTTTTTTTCGATGTTATGTCATTTATAGATGTAGTTCTATTTAAAGAATCTGAGTTAGAGTAATTACATTTGCAAGGTATATGTATTTTGTAATTAAGAAAATTTTTGAAAAGATATTATTTATAATTATCTCAAATTATTCTGAAAATCCATCGATTTGATTTACTCCTAATCTCAGTGTACGACTTGAGTATTAAAAGAAAGATGGTCTCTAATCTAACATACCAGTATTGTACAATCGTATGATTTACCAAAGGCTAAGATACGTACATCAACATAAAGAAAAGGGATGGAAGTGTAAGAAACTAAAGGTGATGATCTTATTCTGCAAATTGATGCAAGTGAAAGCATATCTAATTCTTTCACAAGCAATGTTTTTTCTCTGTATGTTTACTGATATGGTGGTCTTCCACCATGTGCCCAAGCATAAGCCTCATGGTTCAACTGTCCACCATTAGGCACCAAATTTGGTGGCAAGTTGTTGTAAACTTGCAATCCCGAGCCATCGCTGCCACCACCGATTCCTCTATGTTGATGCTCTCCACTTCCACTACCGGTACCTGGTGGCGATCCGCCGGCACCAGCGAGCTGACCTTGAGCACCAGCGACACCCTCCTTTTCCTCCTCCAAAGGCAATCTCTCATATGTAGCGTTGGAAAAAGTTGCTGCTATTACCATGACGGGCCCTGATGCCACCAGTGAGCCTACTACACTACCACCAACCACCTGCCCTTGACCGCCGGCTAGGTATATCGTTAACCCTGTCGAACCCGGAGGAGCCGGTCCGGGAAGAAACGCGCCGGTTAATGATAAAATCTCGAACCTACCATGAAGGGCCATAACTGCACCAGGTGCCGAAGGTTGCCTGAGTGTAACGTTGGTGACAGTTCCACTTCCGCTGAGAACCGAGACCCCTCTTTGTCTCCTCCTAGCGAACTGAGCTAGGGTTTCGGCTACGTCGGAACCGGTGGCTATCTCCATAACGTGACTCCTTAGTGCATTAGGGCTATCCCTGGTGACGAAGATTGGTGGTTTGGGCTTGTTTTTGGAGCCTGCTGGTCGACCTCTGGGACGACGAGTGGAGACTTCGATAGCACCTTCTCTGGGCTCGTCGCTATGCTCTTTGTCTTCTTCTTCTCCGGTTCCACCGCTGCCTGTTTCTCCATTGTTTGTCATGGATATACCCAGATCTGGTTTCTTCATCGGAGATGATGAAGTGGCTGATGTTTCCATTCCTTGTAACCCTACTTGCCCCGTCCACCATAGATTAGCCATGTTTTTTTTTCTCAAGAAAAAGGACTACAAACAAAGCAATAAAATACTGGGTTTTGGCTAGCTAGTGATCTTTGATTAATGGATACGATGGAATCAAGGTTTTAAACAAGAGAAAATGGAAAATTTCAACTCTCTAGAAAATTTAGCTGAGAGAGAGAGAGAGAGAGAGAAGCTAGTGGAAAGCAAGTATGATAACCGATCAAAGCTAAGGGCAAGAGATGAACTCAAAAATAGTTTAAGAGATTATTGTTTTTCGGTTTAATTCTGCCCTCAGTTCTTGTAGTTTTCAGATTTTTGAAACTTACTCCCCTTAGGGATGGCAATTAAATCCGAAAGATCGAAACTTACGGATTCTGACTCGATCTAACTCAATAGGATTATTTTTAAAAAAATGGATTCTGGTCAGATTTTATGTAGGGATGAGGTCAGGTGTAGGGTGAAAAATCTCCGACCCGACTGCGGAGTAATAATATAATTTTCCATATAAATTTATGGATAATTGCTATAATATCCTTCTCTTTATATATATTTTTAATTAGGTCCCTATTTTATATTTGACTTGATCGGGTCGGATCGGACTTATACTCTAAAAAATAGGGTCAGGTTGGGTTCAAATGGAAGAAATATGTTCTTCGAGTCAGGTCGGGTCAAAGATATATATTTTTCGAGTTTTATCGAGTTCGGGTGGGGTATATATATTTCAGATCGGATTGTATTCACAGAAAACCCAAACTAATACAACCCATCACTATTCCTACCTCTACTTTTTATGTTGGGAATTCAATCTTTATTTGTTTGATTCAAACATTAAAATTCAATCATCAACTATCGGTTAATCAAGAGGAATCATTATCTCTTAAACAACATCAATACTTGGTTTAATGGTGACACATAACTTGAATCACATAACTTGAATCACATAAGTCAATTAACGGTGTTAGTAATGAAAATTTAATTTTTAAATAAGACCGACGGAGGGATTAGATTTCGAAATTAAAAAGCTTAACGAGAGACTAAATTTCAAAGGTATGAATAGTATAGGGACCAGTGACAGAATTAGCTGTTTTTTTTCTTTGGGGTGTGTAGTAAGTATAAGATTCCTATATTATTTCCAAGAAATAGTTGGATTTACATTTGCCTTGGTTTTGGGTGTGTCAACTGTCAAGGCCTTGGGGAGCTGAGGTTTTCTTTGTATTTTCTATGCAAAATCTTCCTTTTTTAGGGTTTATTTCATTTTGGTTAGAAGGTGAGAAAACAACAGGGTGAATAAAACTCGGCTTGACTCGAAAAAATTTTAAATTAAAATTGAGTTGTAAAATACAACTCGAATAATTCAAAAATTTTAGTAGTTAGTGAATTGATTTTCAAGTTTTAGTTGAGTCCTTCGACTTTGTATGATATATGAATATCATATATGAAAAATATATATTTATTGTACATTGTTATAAAAAAACTATTTAAATTGGAATAAAATAATATTATAAATATTTACAGACAAAAACTCAAAAATTTAACTCAACTAAAAATAATAAGTCAATTTTGAATTATAAAATAAAACTCGTCTAATTAAATTTTTTTAACACGACTCGACTCAATTAAACGGTTACACCTAAAAAGCGAGGTGCACGTCTTACTTCTTGCTCTTGTCCCCACGTCATGCTACATAGTTCATTTATGTATGATTTTAGAATATACAATACATACAAGGATAATCAAAGAGATGTTAGGGTCAGAGATAGATAAAGAAGATATTGTGATGCAGTGGTATCCTTATAAATTATATATATATTTTTTACATTTTAAGTATTTTATATTAATTATCTTATCTCGTACCTCTAAAATTTTAAAACTTTACAATCTATAAAATTGTAATATAGTTTCTGAAATTCGTACTCGCTGACAAAAATTCATGCACCCGTCGTCCTTGGCTACGATAAGATCATGTCTTTGAAAATTTTAAATTATTATATAGTTTAAATATTTTTTTTTATTTTCTATTTAGTCTAAATTCACACTTATTAAAATTTTATAGTTTCATATCTCCTAAATTTTTAATATATCTTTCTATATTCATATTATAATATAAAATTATACGTTTATTCTTTTATATATATATATATAACAAAGATTTACCTACAATAGTGTAAAATTGAGTTAAACACACCTCCGTAAATTTCACTACAATTAATATTTAACCTTTTAATTATTGAATTTCATATTCTATTCACACAGATGATATATGTTCTATTTCGAAATAGTAAAAATATTTAATTATTTATTTCGATAAAACTTTTCAAATGCTAAATATATATAAATAAAGATATTTTTAAATCGACAAGATATAGGTGTCTTATTGACTTCTATCAGAAAAAATATCTTATTGACTTGAAAATTTACATGCATAGTAAATATTAGTATATTGATCAGGGAAGGAGCTCTTAGGGTTCAAGGGTCCCGACTCCTGTTAAAATTTATATATCGATAATATTTTGGTTTAATAGTATTTTGGTTATTGTAAAAATAAATATTTAAATTTAAAAAATATAAAAATTTATTAAATATTTAATCAAGTAGGGGTCTAACTAAAGAATGATAAGTATGCGTTCTCAAATTTTTGGTCTAATTATAATTTAAGTCATTGTAAGTTTAAATATTAGACAAATTAGAAGTTGTCTTTTGAGTTTTGAGTTTTTCTTAATTTAGGGTGAATACAAGGTAATGTCTGTACAAAGATTTTCAATTATTTGACAGTGAACGCTCATACCCTACATACGTGCTTGAACTCGGGACCTCAAGGATAACAACAATCCCTTAATCACTAAAGTCGCTTGGTTCATGCTGAATTTCGAGTTTAAATACTTAATAAGTCTTTATATATTTTTTAAATAGTCTAATATTTCGGCCCTGCCAATATTTAATTCTGGCTCCGTCCCTGATATTGATAAATTCAGTAGGATTGTTAAAATATCAATAGTTAAAAAAAAGCATATCGACTTGTGTAAAATTAATTTAATTTTTCCTTAATGTAAGTGGATTCTTCCTCCTCCTCCTCTTTCTGTATATGACACAAATATATCCATATACTAATTTAGATGAATTTATTGGGTGATTTTAATGGTAAAAAAAAGAATGTTTTTATTTCTAGAAGACCAAGGTTTATAAATATGCACGAACCAAGCAACATCGGTGGTAAATGAATTGTTGTTATTCCTTGAGGTTCCGGGTTCGAGCACCAGGAATGTCAGGGTGTGAGCGTTCAATGTCAAATGGTTAAGAGTTATCTTTAAACAAATATTATCTTGTGATTATCCAAAATTAATAATAAAAAAGTTTTGAGCCAAGATGTATCTAGATTATGTGTGTTGTAAATAGATTAAGAAAACATGCGTATATATTTGAAAATTAATTATACAAATCCTTTTATGAATAAGAAAAAGTAAACAAATTTTGTAACTACTGATTAAAATATTTAACATTATTCCAAAAAGAATATATTGTATTATAAATAAATTGGAACTTATAAGGTAGTGCAAAATAATAGTTGCAAGACACTCTTTGCATGACCATCCTTTTAACCAGCCCATTCTAATTGCACTCAACACAACAAGCCCCTTTTAATGGATCTTCATCCTTTCTTTCCCTTAAAAATAAAATTAAGTTAAGATATTTAAGTACAAATTAATTTTTTTTATAAATCCGGGGTGAATACAAAATAGTATTTGACAATGAATGTTAATACCCCTTCATATGCGCTGCTCGAACCCAGGACCTCAAAGGATAACAATAAATCTCTTAACCACTGAAATCACTTGGTTCATGTTAAATTCAAATTAGTTAAGTTAAAAAATTAATAAATCTAACTATAAATGTGTATTTTAAATTAACTCAATATAATTAAAATCACAACAAATAATTTTAAACATAACATAATTCATATGTTTAAATAATGATTATGAAAATAATACTATATATATAACATATTGTTACACCTTAAGATATAGGCGATCTATCCAACATATTATATAAATATAATTAATGTGATACTTTTTTTTAAACGATGACAACTAAATTTTGTTAATAAAAATAACGGAAGTAATCAAAATTATAACGTGACAAGAGAAAAATTAGATAATAGTTACAAAAAAAACTTCTACATAAAATAAAACATTAAACCAAAAATTGCAAAGAAAAACAAAACTTTCGATTGAGAATGACGTTCAATATCAAAAGAACTCAGTAACCTTCATAAAACTCTTTATCTCTATCGAACAAGACGCTTTACGAAGTGATAAATGAGCCAAACAACTCGTATTTGATAATAGTACGCGTATTATATAAATACCTTGTAAAGCATAGGCTTATATGATTCAAAGAAAAAAATATATATAAGCTTAGTGGGCTTGGTAATTACACTACTGAAGCCGAAGAACAAATGGGCTAAAAGGGTGGTATTGGTTCAATTTGTAGAACAACTCAAGTCTAATGTAGTTCTTATGTCAATTAATTTTAAGGGTAAACTACATATTTAGTCATTCAGCTATCACTTTGGTTTCATTTTGGTCATGTAACTATTTTTTTAAAAATCGTATCTAACATTACGTTTTGGTTCAATTTTGGTCACCCACCTTTAAAAAATTAACATAACTCTTAATGTTGCAATTTTTTATATTTTTAACGATGATATGTCATTACCTTATGATGACACATAACATTACCATTATTTTTTAACGGTGAGTGAACAAACCAAAACATAACTTTATGTATGATTTTGAAAAAATAATTGTTTGGTGACCAAAACGAAAGAAAAGATATAGTTGGATGACTAAATACATAGTTTAACCTAATCTTAATTTGGAGTTTTAGGGTAAATTATTGAGATTATCAATTTTTTTTATAAGTATTCACTATTTTATTAATTTTTTAAAAATATTTTGGTCACTTATGTTATCGATTTATAATGTTTCGATCACTCAGACAATATGTATGTTTGTTTGATGATGTGACACATTGGTAAAAAGAATTAATTTTTAATTTAACTCTTGAAGTTTAAAGAAAATACTAACTTAATCACTAAATTTTAGATAAAATATCAACATAACACTTAAATTTTAGACAAAATATCAATTTAACCCTTGAATCTCATCAAAATCCTCTGTCGTCGATTGTCACTCACTACTGTTGTCTTCCACTGTTGATCATAATCAACGATCATTGGACTCCAAATTTTTTTAGTTCATTCCTTTCTGATCATAATAAATTTATCATTAATATTATTTTTAAAATAAAGACACTAAATTAAAATTTATAAATAATAATTAAATCTATATATTTTTATAATGATATAGAATTTAGATAAAATTTTAGTTCGAATAATTTTTTTAAATTTAAATATGAAATTAGTTTGAACTATTGAGTGGCTCAATAGTAAAAGGAAGTATTATTCTCTTTAGAGATCTCGGGTTCGAGCACATGCGTCCGTAGGATATGCGTCTGTGTTAATAGGTTTAAAAAAATTTTATTGTTAATCTGGGATAAGTAATAGGTGGTATTTGTTTAAAGAACATATAACTCTTAATTATCTGATATTGAACGCTTAAACCCATTACATTCATAGTGCTCAAACCCGATATCTCAAGGAATAACAATAATTTCTTTACCACTAATATCGTTTAGTTCGTGTGCCAAACAATATTTAAATTAGCCTTAAACTAATAAAGTTGAAGTGCTTTGACATATAGAATTAATAACTAACTATTCATAGTTTGTAACAACCCGAAAATTTGAAAAAAAAATATTTAATTAAGTAAATTGGCGAAATTTGAGGATTCAATTAGAAGTTTTTAAAACTTATAGCCTGTTTTATAAGTGAAGGAAATTCAGTGACCAATCACTGAATATTTCCAAAGAGTGTCAGCAGAATTTTTGCTTATATGCGTGCAAATTGATTCTGGTTTCATACCAGAACAATTTGCTAAGTTTTAACCTCCCACGCATCTCAACTTCCAACCACGATCCCGACGCCGTCTGACCTCCAATCGTTGTTTTGAAAACACCATCGTGTTCATCATCGAGCGAGGAACAAACCCCTTAAATTAATTGAAGTGAAACGCTGTCAAACGTCGTGAATTTCAAGTCAAAGTCTTGACGTTTTTTTAGCATCATCGCCGAGAAAATCTTAAATTCATCACCGATCGTCGCTCGATTTTATACACCTCCCGCACCATCGTGTTCCTTGTGCCGTTCTGAGTTTGCCGGTGTCATCCTTGGTCTCCGTAGACGGCGGCACGTGAGGAGGTGAAGCGGTCAAAGTTTCCAATTTGTTGAAATCGAGCTCTCTGCCGTTTAAAAAATTAAACCGAGCTTTGTAAGTATCTCGAAAT